AATACATTGAAAGTGTGCTGACTAAATAATCCATGAATGTTAAACTCTGTTTCACTCTATTCCTTTATCATACCTCCCAAGTGTCCCTACTTAGGAGAGGCAGCCCCTATTTTGGGCCCAAATCTTTTCTCTCCAAATGTCCCTCTTTTCTCTGTATTGTTGGTGTGTCTAAGTGTATAACAGAGCTCCACAGCAATAATACTCCCAGTAATGTGTCTGAGTGTATAACAGAGCTCCACAGCAATAATACTCCCAGTAATGTGTCTGAGTGTATAGCAGAGCTCCACAGCAATAATACTCCAAGTAATGTGTCTGAGTGTATCACAGAGCTCCACAGCAATAATACTCCAAGTAATGTGTCTGAGTGTATCACAGACCTCCACAGCAATATCACTCCCAGTAATGTGTCTGAGTGTATCACAGAGCTCCACAGCAATAATACTCCCAGTAATTTGTCTGAGTGTATCACAGAGCTCCACAGCAATAACGCTCCCAGTAATGTGACTGAGTGTATAACAAAGCTCCACAGCAATAATACTCACAGTAATGTGTCTGAGTGTATCACACAGCTCCACAGCAATAACGCTCCCAGTAATGTGTCTGAGTGTATCACAGAGCTTCACGACAATAATGCTCCCAGTAATGTGTCTGAGTGTATCACAGAGCTCCACAGCAATAATACTCCAAGTAATGTGTATAAGTGTATAACAGAACTCCACAGCAATAATACTCCCAGTAATGTGTCTGAGTGTGTAACAGAGATCCACAGCAATAATACTCCCAGTAAAGTGTCTGAGTGTATAACAGAACTCCACAGTAATAATACTCCCAGTAATTTGTCTGAGTGTATCACAGAGCTCCACAGCAATAATGCTCCCAGTAATGTCTCTGAGTGTGTAACAGAGCTCCACAGCAATAATACTCCCAGTAAAGTGTCTGAGTGTATAACAGAGCTCCACAGTAATAATACTCCCAGTAATGTGTCTGGGTATATAACAGAGCTCCACAGCTATAATACTCCTAGTAATGTGTGTGAGTGTATAACAGAGCTCCTCAGTAATAATCAGTAATAATACTCCCAGTAATGTGTCTGAGTGTATAACAAAGCTCCATAACAATAATACTCCCAGTAATGTGTCTGAGTGTATAACAGAGCTCCACAGCAATAATACTCCCAGTAATGTGTCTGAGTGTATAACAGAGCTCCACAGCAATAATACTCCCAGTAATGAGTCTGAGTGTATAACAGAGCTCCACAGCAATAACACTTCCAGTAATGTGTCTGAGTGTATAACACAGCTCCACAGCAATAATACCTCCAGTAATGTGTCTGAGTGTATAACAGAGCTCCACAGCAATAATACTCCCAGTAATGTGTCTGAGTGTATAACAGAGCTCCACAGCAATAATACCTCCAGTAATGTGTCAGAGTGTATAACAGAGCTCCACAGCAATAATACTCCCAGTAATGTGTCTGAGTGTATAACAGAGCCCACAGCAATAATACTCCCAGTAATGTGTCTGAGTGTATAACAGAGCTCCACAGCAATAATACTCCCAGTAATGTGTCTGAGTGTATAACAGAGCTCCACAGCAATAATACCTCCAGTAATGTGTCTGAGTGTATAACAGAGCTCCACAGCAATAATACTCCCAGTAATGTGTGTGAGTGTATAACAGAGCTGCACAGCAATAATATTCCCAGTAATGTGTCTGAGTGTATAACAGAGCCCCACAGCAATAATACTCCCAGTAATGTGTCTGAGTGTATAACAGAGCTCCACAGCAATAATACTCCCAGTAATGTGTCTGAGTGTATAACAGAGCTCCACAGCAATAATACTCCCAGTAATGTGTCTGAGTGTATAACAGAGCTCCACAGCAATAATACTCCCAGTAATGTGTCTGAGTGTATAATAGAGCTCCACAGCAATAATACTCCCAGTAATGTGTCTGAGTGTATAACAGAGCTCCACAGCAATAATACTCCCAGTAATGTGTCTGAGTGTATAACAGAGCTCCACAGCAATAATACTCCCAGTAATGTGTCTGAGTGTATAACAGAGCTCCACAGCAATAATACTCCCAGTAATGTCTGAGTGTATAACAGAGCTCCACAGCAATAATACTCCCAGTAATGTGTCTGAGTGTATAACAGAGCCCCACAGCAATAATACTCCCAGTAATGTGTCTGAGTATATAACAGAGCTCCACAGCAATAATACTCCCAGTAATGTGTCTGAGTGTATAACAGAGCTCCACAGCAATAATACTCCCAGTAATGTGTCTGAGTGTATAACAGAGCTCCACAGCAATAATACTCCCAGTAATGTGTCTGAGTGTATAACAGAGCTCCACAGCAATAATACTCCCAGTAATGTGTCTGAGTGTATAACAGAGCTCCACAGCAATAATACTCCCAGTAATGTGTCTGAGTGTATAACAGAGCTCCACAGCAATAATACACCCAGTAATGTGTCTGAGTGTATAACAGAGCTCCACAGCAATAATACTCCCAGTAATGTGTCTGAGTGTATAACAGAGCTCCACACAGCAATAATACTCCCAGTAATGTGACTGTGTATAACAGAGCTCCACAGCAATAATACTCCCAGTAATGTGTCTGGGTGTATAACAGAGCTCCACAGAAATAATACTCCCAGTAATGTGTCTGAGTGTATAACAGAGCTCCACAGCAATAATACTCCCAGTAATGTGTCTGAGTGTATAGCAGAGCTCCACAGCAATAATACTCCAAGTAATGTGTCTGAGTGTATCACAGAGCTCCACAGCAATAATACTCCAAGTAATGTGTCTGAGTGTATCACAGAGCTCCACAGCAATATCACTCCCAGTAATGTGTCTGAGTGTATCACAGAGCTCCACAGCAATAATACTCCCAGTAATGTGTCTGAGTGTATCACAGAGCTCCACAGCAATAACGCTCCCAGTAATGTGACTGAGTGTATAACAAAGCTCCACAGCAATAATACTCTCAGTAATGTGTCTGAGTGTATCACACAGCTCCACAGCAATAACGCTCCCAGTAATGTGTCTGAGTGTATCACAGAGCTTCACGACAATAATGCTCCCAGTAATGTGTCTGAGTGTATCATAGAGCTCCACAGCAATAATACTCCAAGTAATGTGTATAAGTGTATAACAGAACTCCACAGCAATAATACTCCCAGTAATGTGTCTGAGTGTGTAACAGAGATCCACAGCAATAATACTCCCAGTAAAGTGTCTGAGTGTATAACAGAACTCCACAGTAATAATACTCCCAGTAATTTGTCTGAGTGTATCACAGAGCTCCACAGCAATAATGCTCCCAGTAATGTCTCTGAGTGTGTAACAGAGCTCCACAGCAATAATACTCCCAGTAAAGTGTCTGAGTGTATAACAGAGCTCCACAGTAATAATACTCCCAGTAATGTGTCTGGGTATATAACAGAGCTCCACAGCTATAATACTCCTAGTAATGTGTGTGAGTGTATAACAGAGCTCCACAGTAATAATGCTCCCAGTAATGTGTCTGAGTGTATAACAAAGCTCCATAACAATAATACTCCCAGTAATGTGTCTGGGTGTATAACAGAGCTCCACAGCAATAATACTCCCAGTAATGTGTCTGAGTGTATAACAGAGCTCCACAGCAATAATACTCCCAGTAATGTGTCTGAGTGTATAACAGAGCTCCACAGCAATAATACTCCCAGTAATGTGTCTGAGTATATAACAGAGCTCTACAGCAATAATACTCCCAGTAATGTGTCTGAGTGTATAACAGAGGTCCACAGTAATAATACTCCAAGTAATGTGTCTGAGTGTATAACAGAGCTCCACTGCAATAATACTCCCAGTAATGTGTCTGAGTGTATAACAGAGCTCCAAAGCAATAATACTCCCAGTAATGTGTCTGAGTGTATAACAGAGCTCCACAGTAATAATACTCGCAGTAATGTGTCTGAGTGTATAACAGAGCTCCACAGCAATAACACTCCCAGTAATGTCTGAGTGTGTAACAGAGCTCCACAGCAATAATACTCCCAGTAATGTGTCTGAGTGTATAACAGAGTATAACAGAGCCCCACAGCAATAATACTCCCAGTAATGTGTGTGAGTGTATAACAGAGCTGCACAGCAATAATACTCCCAGTAATGTGTCTGAGTGTATAACAGAGCTCCACAGCAATAATACCTCCAGTAATGTGTCTGAGTGTATAACAGAGCTCCACAGCAATAATACTCCCAGTAATGTGTCTGAGTATATAACAGAGCTCCACAGCAATAATATTCCCAGTAATGTGTCTGAGTGTATATCAGAGCTCCACAGCAATAATACTCCCAGTAATGTGTCTGAGTGTATAACAGAGCTCCACAGCAATAATACTCCCAGTAATGTCTGTGTGTATAACAGAGCCCCACAGCAATGATACTCCCAGTAATGTGTCTGAGTGTATAACAGAGCTCCACAGCAATAATACTCCCAGTAATGTGTCTGAGTGTATAACAGAGCTCCACAGCAATAATACTCCCAGTAATGTGTCTGAGTGTATAACAGAGCTCCACAGCAATAATACTCCCAGTAATGTGTCTGAGTGTATAACAGAGCCCCACAGCAATAATACTCCCAGTAATGTGTCTGAGTGTATAATAGAGCTCCACAGCAATAATACTCCCAGTAATGTGTCTGAGTGTATAATAGAGCTCCACAGCAATAATACTCCCAGTAATGTGTCTGAGTGTATAATAGAGCTCCACGGCAATAATACTCCCAGTAAAGTGTCTGAGTGTATAACAGAGCTCCACAGCAATAATACTCCCAGTAATGTGTCTGAGTGTATAACAGGGCTCCACAGCAATAATACTCCCAGTAATGTGTCTGAGTGTATAACAGAGCTCCACAGCAATAATACTCCCAGTAATGTGTCTGAGTGTTTAACAGAGCTTCACAGCAATAATACTCCCAGTAATGTGTCTGAGTGTATAACAGAGCTCCACAGCAATAATACTCCCAGTAATGTGTCTGAGTGTATAACAGAGCTTCACAGCAATAATACTCCCAGTAATGTCTCTGAGTGTATAACAGAGCTCCACAGTAATAATACTCCCAGTAATGTCTCTGAGTGTATAACAGAGCTCCACAGCAATAATACTCCCAGTAATGTGTCTGAGTGTATAACAGAGCTCCACAGCAATAATATTCCCAGTAATTTGTCTGAGTGTATAACAGAGCTCCACAGCAATAATACTCCCAGTAATGTGTCTGAGTGTATAACAGAGCTCCACAGCAATAATACTCCCAGTAATGTGTCTGAGTGTATAACAGAGCCCCACAGCAATAATATTCCCAGTAATGTGTCTGAGTGTATAACAGAGCCCCACAGCAATAATACTCCCAGTAATGTCTGAGTGTATAACAGAGCTCCACAGCAATAATACTCCCAGTAATGTGTCTGAGTGTATAACAGAGCTCCACTGCAATAATACTCCCAGTAATGTGTCTTCAAACTACAATAAATGTTTGCAAATCAGTCTGTGTAAACATGATACATTGTTTTTGTTATAAATTACTGTTCTTAAATGCAGTGGTCCGACCTAAAAGGTACCTAACTACCAATTAGAAACCATATAGGGGGTTTTACCACCAGTTTAAATAATTTGGAGCCCTCTCAATCTGACCAGAGCTTTCAAATTAACTGATATTCCTTATTATTATTATATTATTATATTATAATTATTATTATTATATTATTATATTATTATTATTATTATTATTATTATATTATATTATTATTATTATTATTATTATATTATTATTATTATGTGTTTTCACATTATTTTTGTTGCAAAGTTGATATTTGCGATTATTAAGGAGAAAGCAAAAGAAGTTCCATATAACTGCTATACACTACTACAATAAATGTGTTTAGAAATCAGTCTGTGTAAATATGATACCTTGTTCTTCTAAATTACATTTTAGTTTTATAAATTGTTATAAATCACATGAAATATCTCAGACTAGCCCCGCCCCTGGCCACACCCCACTAGCACTCAGACTAGCCCCGCCCCTGGCCACACCCACTAACACTCAGACTAGCCCCGCCCCTGGCCACACCCCACTAACACTCAGAATAGCCCGGCCCTGGTCACACCCCACTAACACTCAGACTACACTAACACTCCAGACTAGCCGCCCACAGCCGCACCCCACTAACACTCAGAATAGCGGCCCTGGTCACCCCCTTTAACACTCCAGACCCCAGCCCCCACCTAGCCACACCCCACCTAACCTCAGACCCCAGCCCCACCCCTGCTTACACCCCCACTAACACTCAGACTAAGCCCCGCCCTGGCCCACACCCACTAGCACACTCAGACTAGCCAGTCCCTGGCCACACCCCACTAACACTCAGACTAGCCCCGCCCCTGGTCACACCCCACTGACACTCAGACTAGCCCCGTCCCTGGCCACACCCCACTAACACTCAGAATAGCCCCGCCCCGGTCACACCCCACTAGCACTCAGAATAGCCCCACCCCTGGCCACACCCCACTAACACTCAGACTAGCCCCGCCCCTGGCCACACCCCACTAACACTCAGAATAGCCCCGCCCCTGGCCACACCCCACT